CCCCTGGGAATCCAAACTAAAAACTGAAAAAGGAGAGATAGTGTGTTATTACATCCTGGACCACACACTTTGTTTACAAATTATACTAAAATAAGAAAAATGTAAAATGGCTAACCAGAAGTCCTGACAAAAGCTATGTTGTCCCAGTAGGAAAAATATAGAGCAAGACCATCAACAAAGAAAACCTGTGTAAATTTCTGCAATGACAGATTTTTGTTCATGTTGTATTATAATTTTGTTTTAATATGTCCACTCAGTATCACTTCTGACTAAATGAGTGAATTCAGTTATTCTATTTCCGTTTGTTGGTCTTATGATCTCTTGATCGGATTGGTACTGACCTCCATAGCTATTGAGGTGGGACCAGGTCCAGTTCAAGAAGTATGCCAACTTTCTAGGACTTCCATCAAAAGTAACTCTGATGTGTGTGAGGAGGGGCAGCGGTGGTGGAACTGGAGCCAGCTGGGGCATGGGTGCTGGCACCCATTGGCATTGGATCTACCCCTGGCCGGGGTAGTATGCCCATCTGGGAGAGATTTGGTCCACCAGTGGCAGCCTGAGAGGTGGCTGGCAAGGCAGGTTGCTTGGCTTTGGTAGGCCCATGGCTCCTTGTCGCAATCCCAGGCTGGCCTGGTCTAGGGGCCCCAATGGCTGGCTGACAGTGATCATGGCTTGAGCTGTCAGTCTGGTAGATCGGGACTGGCGAGGGTGGCTTAAGCGTGATCTCCTCTGTGCTGAGTGGAATGAGGAGGAAATCCAACTCTCGGCAGCCACACTCACTTCACTGGGGAAGGTGAAGGTCAGTTGAGCCAGGATCAGGCCAGGCTGACCCCCTGGGAACTGGCTTCTCGAGGGTGGCTGGATTCACCATTCTCTGGATTCTGTGAGGTCTCTGGCTAAACCAAATGGCAACAAAAAAAGGCAGACTTTTTAAAAAAAAAATTATAACAAAAACAACAAATAAAACCATCTTTCAATTTTACAGTGTATCGGTTGGGTATATATATCTTGTGCACATGCTAATATTGATATACAGTTCTTATTAAGTTATATTCATAGTTTATTCTAATCAACATTCTATATCATATTACATTATTATATTATCATTAAAGTTTAATTTATTTCTAGGCTATCTTTCAAAAACACATCTCAATACTTACTAAGTTATGTTCATATTATTACTTATTAGAAATAATCAGTTGTGATATATTATTACTATTACAACATACTTCAATTTCTTAATCTTTCTAGCCATTCATAGAATAATCCCAAATCTTATAATACTCTTTTTCTTCCTGTTCTCTAATTGCCATTGTTAATCTACTCATTTCTGCACATTCCATTATTTTCTTAATCGTTTCCTCTATCGGAATTTTCTCATTTTTCCAGTTTTGTCCAGGCAATCATTGTTTCTTTAACTTGCTCTTCTTCTAATTTCACTCCTAGTAAATAACCATATAATTTTTTAATCATCTTCTCTTCAGTGCCTGTTCAGATTTTATCTAATTCAGTCAATTCTTTATGGAACCCATCTATCTTACTATCTTTTTCATATCTTGAATGTATCTGCAAAAATGTATACCAATTTCTATTCATCCCTTGTTCATCTAATTTTTGCTTTGTTTTGAGTTCACCCTTTTCATTTAAAATTTTATTATATCTAATAATATGTTCCATTTTAAAAACATTTGGGTATGTAAATGTCTCTGTTGTCGATAATCAGACTGATATTTTCATATAATGCTGCTCCCTTATTTTCTCCCATATTACTAATAAAGCATCTCAAATATAATGCCTCTGAAAGTATCCATGTACCTTACTTTCCTTATACCATAAGAATGCATGCCATCCCAATTGCAAATCATGACCTTCTAATGTTAGCAGTCTAATATTCCTCAAGACAATCCATTCTTTCATCCACTTCAGTATTACTGCCTGGTATATAATTCCCAGTTGGGAATTATAAACCTCCCCTCGTTTTAGTGTCCTGTAACAATTTTAACTTAATTCTTGTCTTTTTTCCCTGCCATATAAATTTCAACATGATTTTATTTAAATCCTCAAGGTATTTTTTCTCTAGTTTTATTGGAATTGTCTGGAATAAGTATAGTATTTTTGGCAATATGTTCATTTTAATTGTTGCTATTCTTCCTGTTAAGGATAATTGTAGATTTTTCCATTTTTCCAGGTCTGTTGTAATCTGTTGTTTCAGTCTATAGTAGTTGTCCTCTTTAAGTGTTCCACATCTTGCATATTCTTCACTAAAATCTTAGTTTTTCCTTTGTTTATTTTAAGTCCTGCAATCTCCCCATATTCTTTTTTCTTTTCTATCAGCTTAGGACCTGTTTCCAATGGTTCTTCCAATATAAAAACCAGATCATCTGCGAATGCTTGTAATTTATACTCCTCCTTTTTTATTTTCATTCTGTTTATTTCTTTATTTTCCCTAATATTTCTGTTCAATACTTCCAAGGTCAATACAAATAACAGTGACGACAGTGGACATCCTTGCCTGGTTCCTTTTTTGATGTTAATATTATCTGTCAAGTCTCCATTTATCATTACTTTGGCTGTTTGTTTGTATTATATATTACCTCAATTGTCTTAATAAATCTCTCTCCAAAGCCCATCTCTTCCATTTGCAACAACATAAATTGCCAATTTACATTATCAAAGGCTTTCTGTGCATCTAGAAAGACCAAAGCCATCTGCTTCTCTGGATGTGTTCCATAGTATTCCAGTGTATTCAATATTATCCTCATGTTGTCTTTTATTTGCCTCTTAGTCAGAAATCCATTTTGATCTGAGTGTATAAAGTGATTCAAGTATCTTTTAAGTCTTTCTGCCATTATTGAGGCAAATATTTTGTAATCTGCATTTAGCAGGGATATTGGTCTATAATTTTTTATTTGTTGTAGATCAGTGTCTTCTTTTGGTATAAGAAGACTCTGTCCATGAATCAGGAACTTTGTTTTTTTCAAAACCTCGTTCATTACTTCAAGCATTATAGTGCTGATTGATTCCTGTAGTGTCTTAAAAAATTCTGCTGGTATTCCATCCGTTGGGCCAGGTGCTTTCCCAATGTTTTGTCTATTTATTGCTTCTGTCAATTCCATCATTGTTATTTTCCCTTCTAACATTGTCTTAGTTTCATCAGGTATTTTTGGTAATTTTGCTTTTCGCAGATACTGTTTTACTTTCCCTTCTTCAATATTCTCTTGCTCGTATAGTTTTTCATAATACTTCTGCACTATTTCTTTCTTTTCTTCATTTCCATGACATACCATTCCATTTTCGTCTATCTATTCACTCAGTATCACTTCTGACGGAATGAGTGAATTCAGTTATTCTATTCCTATTTGCAGGTCTTAGGGTTGCAGTGTGGTACCCAATCTCCCATAAAATTCCTCTTAAACACAGTTTAAGACTGTGTTTAAATACCATTTACTTGCAAGCAAAAACTGGTGGGACTACAAAATAGACAAAGTGATAGGAAATTAGGAAGCTAAAGTACATTTTGATTGGAGCATGTTCTTTGATTTGAAGATTTGATGTAGATTTGGTCTTAGACTTGTGGCAGCTACAGGGCTGCAAGGCTGGTTTGGAGCTGGTGTCAAGTAACCACTTGATGGAGTGGTTCATAGTGAAGTCAACTTCCTTGGGGAAGCTTTGGAGTAAGAATGCAGGCATTTTGGTCTGCCCATTAGGATCATTCTAGATCTCCAATTTCTCCTTTCTGACTCTTGTTAGTTGCATGGCAAAATGAATGGGAAATCCCTTTAGGATAGAAATTCATTTAGGTTGAGTATTAGGAAACCTTGAAATCAGTAAAAACAAACAAACCCAACATCACTGTTAGATTCTGAGGATCTATTGAGGAAGGTCGTCTGTCTACTCACAGATTGTCTCATGCCAGGCATTTCTTAGTTTAATTTTTAAACATAGCTTAATTTTTTAAAAGAGGGACTTATAAACTGGAGAACAGAAGCTGTGACTATCTGCAGGAGCAAATTAAAAAAAGATGGAAATTGTAGTGGGAAGAAATGATGTAAAAAACTGTTTTCTTAATGTGATTTTGTTTATATCTGTTAATTTTCCAGTGAAAAGAGGCAGAGCTTGTGATTATAATTAGTAGATTGAAGCTTACCATGAAATCAAATAACTGAAAAGTTTTATAAATTGCTAATAATTTATTGGATTATACAAGAACTTGTTTTTGATGTACATAAAATTTTCCCATAACAAAAATGCATTCCCTGTAATGAAAATTTTATCTTATATCCTACCCAGCAGACTGAACAATCTAAAATCATCAGTTTCTAAGCAGAACATTGTGATTCAATGAAACTTTTACTCTGAAATGTTAGTTTTTTCATCTTTAAACTTTAAGGTCTTCTCACTGTTGAAAACCAATGATCTTCAATTTTCTCTTATCAGAACTTCTTTATATTTGAATATTTGAGGATTCAGAGAATAAATCATGTATTTTTTTTTCTTTTAAGATGCAGCAGTATTCTAACAAGGAAACTAGAGAATAAACATTAAACTTATTCATGGTACATTTTAAAAGGCTGTATTGTTCTGAATGCTGAGCTGTCGTCAAAGGTTACCAGATCTCACAATCCATATATTCAGCAATTGTTTCTCCCAATTAAGCTTCCAGGGGGAAAAGACCCTTCACTCAGAGAAGACAGATCTAACGTTCTTTTCCACTCTGTTGCCCAAAGAAAGCATATTGAATTACTACCTGTGCTTTAAGAGGAAACGATACTTTATATGAAAGTTAAATTCTGTTGGATCAGAAAACATTTGTTGTGAAGATTTGTTCCTTGCATAAGAAAACCAGCTTAAGCTGCTCCAAAAGAAAACGAATTTAATCATCTCTATATTTTACTAAAAAGAAACTCAATGTGTCTTTGAAGTTTCAAATTCAGGCAGATCCTTCTTTTACAAAAGATACGTTTTTTCTAAATATTTAAAGCCTTATTGTCATGAGAAGTACATTGTTTTAGCGTGACTTTTATATGCTCCTTTAAAGGATATATTTTGTTTCTTTTTATCACAATGAGTACAAGTTCCTGATGAGAATAATCCAAAGAGCCCATGTGGAAATAAGAGGCTGGATTCAAAAATTGCTCAGAACTGGTGTTCCTGTTCCAGAGATGTTATAAGGATTAAGTCCTAGAGAAGATCAGGGGTGGGTTTCTACCGGTTTGGGTTTCTACCAGTTCTATAGAACTGGTTGTTAACGTCACCAGTAGTTCTAAGAACCGGTAAAACCGACCCCTGCTTGGCTCTGCCCCTCTCCACCACTCCTATGGGCCAAAAAATGGTTTTTATTACTGCGCATGTGCAAAAATCCTTTCCTCATTCTCCCCTGCCTGCCCCTCCCTTTGCTGCCCCAACCTCCGCCCCTATCCGCCACTCCACAATAAAAATAAATGGGTTTTTTTTAAAAAAAACGGTGTTTTTTTTAACTGCGCACACGCGAAAATCCCTTCCGCATTCTCCCCCGCCCGCCCGTCCCTTTGCTGCCCTGGCCCCCGCCCCTATCCACCGCTCCAAAGTTAAAAAGAAACAGCTTTTTAAAAAAAAAACAGCTTTTTTTTTACTGCGTACGCGCAAAAATCCCTTTCTCATTCTCCCCCACCCTCCCCACCCTGCCCCTACTTATAGCGCATGTGCGCTAATTACAAAAATTTACCCGCGCAGCGCCATCGCTCACACCACCACCACCAGCAGCAGCGGCTGAGCCAGCCAGCCGGCCAGCCAGCCAGCTAGCTGTCCATCCCTGCCTGCCTTCTGCCGCCCTGCTGAGTGAGGGCAAGCCGCAAGCCCCGGTCACCACTGCAGCTAACCATCCTCACCTGGCCGGCCAGCCTGCCTTGCCCTGCCTGCCTCCCGCCACTGCCGCTAGCTGTCCTCGCCCGCTCAGACTGCCTAACCCGCCACCAGCCTCCGAAGATGCAGATCAGTAAGTATGATCCTCCAATCTGGTCGCCTACCTACCGCTGACACGTTGGAAGAATCCACTACAGGTATTGTAAACTTTACTTCATATTGTTATGTTTACAAAGACATTAATGAACTGCTGAATCAATCATCTGTGTGTACTTTCTGAAGTTGAATTTCGGTTGCAAAATCTAACAGGTTATGGGCCCAGCCAGCCCCCAGTACACATGTAAAGACTGCATTGTAATTTAAGCTGAGAAAGACTGTTTGTGTTTAAAAGGAGAAACAAAGCAGAGAAAAGTTTTGCAGCATGGCTGAGAAAATTAAGGAGAACTCTGTGCCTTGTTTGGGTCAGAAGAATTTTATTATTTGGGCTGCAAAGATGGGAAGTTTCCTGAAAGCTAAGGAACTATGGGATATCTTATGGTATCTCTGGACAACTGCATAACTGGATAGAAGCATTCCTGTCAAATGGTCAAAATTGGGAGTGTCCTATCAAATTCTGTACCTGTCAACAGTGGTGTTCCCCCAAGGCAGTGTTCTAGGACCAACTCTCTTCATACTCTACATAAATGACCTCTGTGATCATATTAAGAGCAACTACATTCTTTTCGCTGATGATGTAAAGCTGTTCAATACCACAGACAATACTGCTACCCTTCAAAAAGATATTGACTATGTATCAGAATGGTCAAAAAATGGCAACTTCAAATCTCAACAAATAAATGCTCTGCCCTACATATTAGCAAAAAAATAATAATCAGAAAATAAAATACAAGCTGAATAGTCAAGATCTTGTTGATGATCCAAGCTCTGTCAAGGACCTTGGAGCACTCATCTCTAATGATCTAAGTGCCAGAGCCCACTGTAACTACATAGCCAAAAAGGCATTAAGAGTTGTTAATCTAATCCTACGTAGCTTTTTCTCTGGTAATATCACACTACTAAGTAGAGCATACAAAACATTTGCTAGACCAATACTCGAATACAGCTCATCAGTCTGGAACCCACATTACGTATCTGATATTAGCACAGTTGAGAAAGTCCAGAAATATTTCACAAGAAGAGTTCTCCACTCCTCTACTCATTGTAGAATACCTTATGCCACCAGACTTGAAATTCTAGACCTAGAAAACCTTGAATTACGTCGTCTTCGATCTGATCCAAGTATGGTATATAAAATCATACATTGCAATAACTTACCTGTCAATGAATACTTCAGCTTCAACCATAACAACACAAGAGCACACAACAGATGCAAACTCAAGGTTAACCGCACCAAACTTGATTGCAGGAAATACGACTTCAGCAACAGAGTGGTCAATGTCTGGAATACTCTACCTGTGGTTTCTTCCTCAAACCCCAAAAACTTTAAACTTAGACTGTCTACTATTGACCTCACCCCTTTCCTAAGAGGTCTGTAGGGGGCGTGCATAAGCGCACCAACGTGCCTACCGTCCCTGTCCTATTGTTTCTTTTATTTTTCTTATATGTACCCATTTCATGTATTCATAACTATGTATATACTTATACCTATTATCTTGTAAGCGATTTACAAATCAAATAAATAATTAAAAATAAATAAATAAATATTGTGGAAAACCCACCCAAAGCACCATTGCATGATAAAACAATGGCTTATATCATCTTAAGTTTAGAAGATGAACAGTTTATCAACGTAGCTAATTTAAAGACTGCAAAGGAAGTCTGGCTGAAGTTGAGAAGTGTGCACGTGAGTGTGTCTGCATGCAATATTGTGCAATTATCAAGAAAAGTATAGAGAGCCCATTTGCAATCAGGAGAGTCTCTGGAACAGCATCTAGTAACAATGCAAACTTTGTGGAGTTAGAACAGCGTGGAATGCAGATTCCTGCATCTCAGAAAGTGCTGTTGATTTTGAACAGTCTAGATGACTTGTGGGATATTGTTTCTGCAGTATTTGAATGCACAGTGTGACGATATTTGCATCCTTCATGTCCTTGCGTCACTCCACCTTCCCTCCAACAAAGACAGAAGAGTTCAGTGTGGATGATCTCTTTGCAGCACTTCAGAACTTCAGCAGGGATGTTATCTTTCCTGGTACCTTGCCAGAGGCAAGAGAATCCAGGGCCCCGTTGAGTTCTTATAAAGATGGTTCACTGTCAAGCTCCTCCAAGACAGGCAAGCACTCAATGTTCTTTAATGCTTCTTCAGTTACAACATTTTCTTTGGAATATAACTCAAGAGTAATGCTGCACCCAGCATACCACCTGCTGTGCAAAGGCAACAGGGGGGACTATAACAACCACTGCAGCATCTCCTTATTGTTGTAGGGAAGCTGCTTGCCTGTGTCATACTGAAGAGGCTTCAGGTGCTTGCAGAGTCTACCCAGAATCACAGGGGGGATTCCAAGCCAACAGATCCACTGCTGATATGGTATTATTCCTTAGGCAGTTGCAGGAGAAGTACAGGGAACAAGACAGCCACTTTTTATAGCCTTCATAGATCTTACAAAGTCTTTTGACTTGGTTAGTAGGGGTGGCCTTTATAAAATCCTCCCCAAGATTGGATGTCCACCTCAGCTCCTCAACATCATTAGGTCCTTTCATGAGAAAATGAAGGGCACGGTAGTTTTTGATGGTTTAACATCAGATTCCTTTGACATATGAGGTTGAGTGAAGCAGGGCTGTGTCCTCGCGCCAACTTTATTTGGGATCTTTTTTGCTATCATGCTAAAACATGCTTTTGGAACTGCAACAGAGGGTACGTATCTCCAAACCAGATCAGACAGAAAACTCTTTAATCTCTCTAGATTGAGAGCAAAGACCAAAGTCCAGATGATGTGCTTGTGGGATTTTCTCTTTGCTGATGATGCTGCCGTTACTGCTCGCTCTGCTGAAGACCTTCAACAATTTATGGATTGTTTTAGCAAGGCCAAGATTTTGGACTAACAATCAACCTGAAAAAAACACGTCATGGGTCGGGACGTGGATTCACTTCCCTGTATTATGATCTCTGCACAAGAACTGGAAGTCGTCCATGACTTTGTGTACTTAGGCTCAACTATCTCTGACACTCTCTCTTTAGACACTGAGCTGAATAGACGTATCAGTAAAGCTGCCACCTGTTCTGACCAAGGCTTCCGAGATCATAATTAAGCACACTATTAGTTAAAACAAGTCTAGTTTTATTTCAACGCTTGGACTTATGTTCATTCCCAGCCTGTAATGAGTCCCAAACAGTCCCTCAAGATAAGCACCCACCTTTCTCTCCTTTGAATTTCTTCCAACAACAGAAGTGCCAGAGGAACTAGAAAAAAACCAGCTGAAGTACAGTCCTTCAAGTTCAAGGATTAATCCGAACAGAACAAACAACTTTGCTTCCTACAAAGGTTACACCTTTGCCTGTCCTTTATACTTTATGAGAGGGGCAATTACCTCCAAGCCTTACTCCTAAGTTGCCCCTTTTGTTTCAGCTGCTTTTGCCTTCTAGCAGCTCTGCGCACACGCACACTGGGAACAGGCTCCCCTTGTTCCTTTGCCTTGCTGCTGCCAGACTTTTGCTGAAGTGCCCCACCACTGGGTTGTCATGGCACTGCGACAAGATAAGTCCCTGGAGCGGCCCTGCCGGGACATAGAGCTTGTCGCGGTAGCACAAGGGTTCCTCCTTGAATGACCATGGTGAGTTGGGTCCCACTTCTTGCTTCCACTGATCCACCCAAGCATCGTGCTGGTGCGCCTCCCATATCTGTGTCTGTAAGTCCACTGGTTCCTGCACAGTGGAGAATGACTCTATGGGCAACACCGTCCAGAGCAGGAGTTGATCCTTCCAGGAGAGTGCATCCACCCATTGGTTGTGACCACTTGGAACATAGGTGACATGGAAATTAAAGCAGGGCCATCGGATCTGGCGCTGATTTAATTTCTGGGCAGTCTTTAAATGCTCCAAATTCTAATGGTCTGTCCAGACTTCTACTTGATGGCACGCCCCCTCCAAATGGTGCCTCCAGGCCTCAAATGCCATCTTAATGGCCAGTAGCTCCTTCTCCCAGATGGTATAGTTATGCTCAGCAGGATTGAGCT